ACGATCGGGGCGGTGTTCGCCATCGCGGAGGATATCGCGGATTAGATTCAGGTATTGGTGTTCTTCGTGGTTGGGCATTGTGGGAGATGTGGTGCCGTTTTCGGTTTTGGTAGGATTAGATGGGGTGGCGGAAGGCACTTCAACTGCGGCGGGAGGCATTATGGTATAGGATAATGTGGGTGTGGTGAATGTTGTGGAAGTTGGAGGTGGGATGGTAGGAATAAATTGGTAGCGCGAAAGCGTGTTTGGAAGGAAGACGCGACTGCGGAAGTGGTTCATGTGGGTTGCCAGAGTGGGTGCGCTAGTCCTGAAGAATCCTGACCGCAAAAACATCAACACCATAACACAAACTGAACAAGAATGGCGGAAGAAGCCGCAGCACATCACCTATTGAATGTCCTTGAAGAAAGAGATCTTTCTGTTGATCTCGACAAGGTATTAGCAGTTTTTGAAGATGAGGATAAGAAACGGGAGGCCGCGGCATGGGTGATGGAATATTTGGATTCATCAACACTCTTGACAAAGGAAGAGTTGGATCTGTATGTCCCTAGCATTGATCAGACTACAGCTGAGATGCTAACGCTGTTCTAGCTACCAAGCCTTGGAGAAGAAAGGCGTCGTTCATCAATACGAAAACGATGACACCTTTGCTCGACCTATTTTGGACCATGAGCTAACCTCAGCCATTGAGTCCTTGCAGAGTTCAACGGCGGCGATTGAGGAGCAATGCAAGGTCCTCGAAGCTCAACGTGATGCCTTGGTGGCGTTGAAAGCTCTCGACAAGCCGAATCTGGAAGTTGAGCACATGAGGAATGAGCGTCGGCGCCGACAACATCAAGAGAAGGCTCGACTTGATATATCCGTGTGTCTATGCCATGTATGCATGCACCTAGCGAGAACATACTAATTTTGGCGCAGATAGAAGATGTATCAAGCTCCCTTAACGAGCAACTGACAGACAGCCAACGTGAAATCGAGACTGAGAAGTCAACCCTAAAGACCTATGTCACTGAGAGGCTTGCCTCCGATGATAAGATTCTCACGGCTCTTCCAAAGATCGTCTCAAATATTGTTGCAGAGCCAGAGGTTAGCGAGGACGAGAAGTCGATTGAGCAGTGGTGCAAAGCCATCATTTCCTTCCGGACTGCGGAGATCAAAGCAAGAGTGGATGCTACCTATCTTAATAGTCTCAGCCACAACTCGCCTGGGGATCTGCCTGATGCGTCCGAAGATGAACTGCGAGAGCGGAAAGAGGCTCTGCAGGCTGAGCTGGAGACTTTGCATTCCGAAATTTCCTCCGTTGCAGAGATGGTAGTAGAGCATGAGCTTCGCAAACCCATCATGGAGTTAAAAGAGCGCAAGGAAAAGCAAAGAGCACACGCACGAAGTGCGTGGTTGAAATACGTAAGCCATTCTCCGACACTCATTGCCAGAAAGATTATAACTGTCATAGGTATTATCAACACTGGAATATATGAGCAACCGCCTCAACATCATCACCATGCACACACAAAAAGTCTCCGAATTCCAACTTGCCCTCTCACACGTCAACGAAGCAGCATCGAAACGAATGCCCGACCCAAGTACTGAGGCTTTGACACCATCAAGAAAACGGGCAACTTCTGTGCCAAAATCCGCTTTCTCTCCGGCTGTAAAATTGAATCCGAAGAAGACAGCTAAGCTTCCGCCCGCGCTAGAAGACGCACTCCGCCATGCCAGTCTGTCGTTCAAGCAAGACAGTATCGAAGCTCTCCAAGAAACGCTAATCAAGGCCCAACTCGAGCGAGAGAAGAAGTTAGAAGATCATTACTCTTCTACATCGTCTTCAACTCAAGAGAGCCTAGCGGATGTGTTTGGTAAGGCGGATGTTGATCTGAGGGCCATTCTTGATGCCTTGTATTCACATACACCGTACCAGCAAGTGCACTTGACGAATCCAAGTTTGGACGAGAAGATGAAGAAATTAGAGAAAGAGTTAACCGGCGCAGATCAGAAATTGCTGAGCGCAGAGGGGAGTGAGCTGAGTCTTAGTGATCCGAAGGTGAAGGCCTTCATTAGTAGGTATGGGGAGAAGAAGTGAGATGGTTATGCATACTCTAGACGTCGATGTAGGGATCCTGTTCACCTCTGAGCCACTTTTTTTTCGAAAAAGAATTGGACTTCTACTATCATATGATGTTCTGTCGCCCTCCTATCATATGAAAGCATCGCATATTTGCCGAATCAAGGTTCATAAGCCCCACGTTTTCAACCCCATAGTCACCAGGCTTTCAATCTCTATATATGGCTAATATCTGAACGACCAAATAACAACCGGTTATGCAAGTGTATGCCAAATACACGACGGGATTATTCCGTCGCACCAATCTCGTCTGATCTTTACGCTATACCAAAGACGACCCATCTCTTATTGGTGTGCCAGCAATACTATCCAATTTTCTCACACCAGGATAACATCCGATATGCAAATGAATAGCATCGCGGGGCGAGGGAGACACGAGAAGAGCTATCATAAGAAAGCAATGGAGCTTCAACTCTGACCTTAGCTACTTCGACCAAAAGCTTGTACCCACTACTTTCCAAGATGCTCCTCTTCAAAGCAGCGCAGCTCCTGCTCTTCAGCATACCCGTCTATGCGGACATGAACAAAACCGGCTCGCTCTGTACCGTCACGCCTTCCGGTGGCAAAGACGACAGCCCTGCCATCATGGACGCCTTCAAACAATGCGGCAAGAATGGTCAAATTGAAATCACGGAAGGCGACTTCACGATTGCGAAAGTCATGGACGTGCTCGATCTCCAGAACTGCGATATCTCGATCAAAGGCAAACTCACTTGGAACGACGACATCCAGTATTGGCTCCGGAATAGTATTAGCGTAACGTATGCGCAAAGGAGCACGGCGTGGAGGCTTGGTGGAACAAATTTTAGCATGAGGGGGCATGGGAAGGCGCTTTTCTTTGGGAACGGTCAGAAGTGGTATGATCAGAATCGGAATCAGGGGAATCAGGCTGGACGCCCGATTTCTTTGACTTTGTGGAAGGCGAATAATGTGTTCATTGATGGGATTACTTGGAGGCAGCCGCAGTTCTGGTGAGATGAGTGAAGTGTTATATGAAAGTTGGAGAGAGAAAGCTGATGGAGGCAGGCATACTTTCGTGGCGCACTCCCAGAACATCACCATGACGAATCTCGACATGAACGCTACATCCAACTCCCAATGGAACACTGTAAATACCGACGGAACCGATACGTGGAACTCTAAAGATATCACCATCAAGAATTGGGTTGTAACATGTGGAGATGTACGCACTTCTTTTTTTTTCATCCCTACTCATTCTCTCCTCTCCCTAGGCCACACCACTCACAATATATAGGACTGCATATCCATCAAAGGTAACAGCACAAACGTCTACGTCAAAAACGTAACCTGCTACGAATCCGGTGCAATGTGCATCGGCTCTCTCGGCAACCCGGCCACAACCCCCGACTACGTCGACAACGTCGTGTTCGAAGACATAACCGCCATCCACAGCTCCAACGCTGCCTGGATAAAAACGTATCCCGGCACCGGCCACGTCCGCAACATCACATTCCGCAACATCAATTTCCGCGACGTAAACCAGCCCATCTACATTTCCCCTTGCATCTACTCCTACAGTAACTGTGACAGTAGTAGGTTGAAGATTAGCGATGTTACATGGGAGAATATTACGGGGACGAGTCGGTATAATGTTGCGGCGGGCATACATTGTAGTGGGGCGGCACCTTGTACGGGGTTGAAGTTTAGTGGGATTGATATTAAGCCGAAGAATGGAGGTGAGGCGAAGTTTCTTTGTAGTAATATGAATAAGGATAGTGGATTGCAGTGTACGGGGAGTTGCCCGGGGAATCATCCGCAGCAGTTGAATGGGAATGTGTAGAGGTTCCAGGACAGGTTAGCGGTGGAAGGAAAGGTTGAGGTATGATTTAACATCTATTTGGAAACTTATGACAATATGTTCAGTTCGCAACTCTGGAAACAATAGCTGGTTATGTGATTGAGGTCTTGCCTTGTGATTGTTGATGACGCGATGCTGCTGGGTTCACACCGAATCTGACCCTCAAAGCACGCCTTGATCCCTACACATCCCCCTTGAACATACTCCTCCTTCTTCCTGCCAACTCCCCCGGCTCCCCCATCTCTAGAACCGTACCCCCTCCATAACCACCACGGTATCGAAATCCAACAACCATCCCAACCGATGCGCAATTGCAACAACCGTACACTCTTTCTCCGCCAACTCGCTGCTGATCAACTTTTGCATAAGTTTATCATTATTGTCGTCCAGATTACTCGTCGCTTCATCCAGAATCAGCATCTTGGGTTCGCGCAACATTGTGTGAGCGAGAAAGAAGGGTTGTTTTTGGCCTGTTGAGAGTTTGCTTGGACCGAGGAGAGAGTCGAGGGAGCCGAAGGAGGTGAGCAAGGATAATAGTCCGACTTTTCCGAGCGCGGTTTGGATAGCGGAGTCCGAGAGGCTGTTTTCGGGCTCTATTTTTCGACGGATGGAGCCTTCGAGGAGGTAAGGTTGTTGTGGAAGAGCAACAAATCGTGAGCGGAGGATGTGGAGCGGGATGTGGGTATGGGGGGGGATCGTCGATGGTTATGGTGCCAGAGTTGAGATCCATGAGGCGGAAGAGGGCCATTAGGAGGGATGCCTTGCCGCTGGGGAGAGTCGGCATGTAGCCATTGGAGATCGTGTAGGACGAGATTGTACCCACCTTCCGGTTCGACCCTATACCTCGAACTTTGTTCCGGGTTTTATCTTCAAGGATCCATGGCGGAATTCAGGAGGTATATCAAATCTAAATATAATTAGTTGCATGTTAGGTCAGGATGGGTACATAAGCATACCTGTATGATGCTGAGGCGGCATGAGATTCCACCTGCCTTTACTGGGCCAGTGGTTGGGTACACCTGCATTGGCAGAGGAATCGTCTTCAGCAGGTGGGTCTTGTGAAAACCCCTTTAAACGCGCAATAGCTCCCAATGATGTCTCCGGCGTCGTCCATCCAATAATGAGTTCGTTCAAAGCATCATTAAACTCAAGAATCGTAATGAGGCCAACACCGATAGCACCACTACTGCTGATCTGATGACACTTGAGAGCAAATGCGACAAGCAGCAGAGCCATAGCTGTGACCATAAACCCCAATACCAGGATCAGCCATCTCTATATGCAAAACAGAAGATAGTACGGCTTCTGTGGCGCATCCAGTAGCTTGAAGCAGCGCTGCTGGGAGGAGTCTTGTCATTTGGGTGCCAGGATGCTGTCCAGCCCTTCAGTGGTTTCTTGAAAGATGGTGTAGAGTGGCGACCTTGCTTCGATCTCGAGGAGTCGGAGTTGGCGAGAGGTACGTAAGTAGAACATCTGAAGGAGGTAGAGACAGATGCAGAGGGTGGGTAGTGCGGCTGCAATATAAGACGCTCCTATGCATACAAGGACTGCCGGAGGGCATGCAGCTGAAACCTGCTAAAAAACCGAATTAGCTCCTAAATTGGAATACGTGACTTTGGGCATACCCGACAGAGCTCTCATTGTCGCTGATGGAAGATCGCGGTCAATATGCTGCATGCCTTGTGCGAATCTTTGAGATGTTAATAATATCCAAATTCCCGGTGAGCTGTATAGCATACCGATTCAATGTCACTCCCGCATCGACCGTATCGTGCAACTCTTGTTTTGCATTGCTACTTTTAAGAATATTGCAAAGTTTTCAGGACCTAATCACATACTTGACGACTGTATCTAACAGATTGGAATGCAAACTACGACCGGATATTAGCATAAGCTTCACAAACAGATACCTATGCGTACATATTAGTCTCATAGTTCCATCAGGAGAATATCTACTTGCCAGATAAGGCTGACGACGGTAATAAGCCCTGCAAGAGAGATGGCTCCATATACACCAAGATGGTAAGAAATGCTCGCTACTGGATTCCTCTCTTCCGCTTGAGACCATCGCTTTAGCTATACAGCTAATACAAGATTAATTAAAATATTGTTTGGAGAGCGAAGAAAGGGGTGACTAACTGGGATAGTTGATAAGAGCTGTGTCCGCTACATGTATAGCTAGAAATAGTTCTGTCCTCCACTGGCTCGTTGAAAGTTTGTAGTGCTTGTGCAGACTCCAGTCACCCGTTTGTCGAGCAGCATCTTTGGATGTATAATGGGCGTTTGAAGTAGACTCTAGCTTGACTTTCTCAGGTAGAGGAATAGCTGATGTTGAAGAACTTGTGGAAACTTCTACATGGTCGGCAGTTGAATTTTGTGCAAAAGTTTCCATAAATGGCCCGCGATGAGATATTCGGCCGTCCCTGGTCATGTGAATGACTTGATCCATGAATCTTAGAGCCTGGCCTATGTGAAACTTTATTGGTTCTCCTCAACTCTCATTAAACTGTCGAGGACTTACCTGTATGGGTAGCTAGAATGACGGTAATCTGCATTTTTCTGACAATCCTGTGTTCTGCGAACAAGGCGCGGCAAATATGCGCGGTAGTATTTGTGTCCATCCTGCTGAAGATGTCATCGAGGATCAGGACAGCATTTCTGGAATAAACGGCTCTTGCAGGTGCTTATTTCACGTTAGTGGCGTGGAGGAGAAGAGATATGAAGCAGAATAGCGATATAATGTATTTCAAATGATCTTAATGACTTACAATGTATTGCTTCTGTCCACCACTTAAAGTAGTCCTTTAGCTTCCCACATTCGATGCATCGCCACCCGTGGTCGGAGCTAAATCTTGATTTAGAGCACAAGCGCGTATTACAGTATCATACCACTGCGCATCGTACTCTGTCTGACCAACAATAGCCTTTCTGATCGTCTCTTTACAAAGCCAAGGTGACTGGGAGCAATAGGCAACAGGAAGTCTGTTGTGGCGCATGATCCTGCAATACACGGAATACGTTGCAGCAATGCCTTGATCAGAATTGTTTCCCCGCATCCAGCTAGGCCTGATATCCCTATAAATGATTCACGGGGGATCTCGAGGTGGATATCTTTCGTCAGTAAACCCTCCTTGTCCGTACTTCCAAACGTTCCGTTAAAGATCTTGAACAAGGGCATAGCATGTCTCGTAGTCACGGAAGTATCCTTATCAACTTCAGTATGCCCGTCAGAATTTGGCGGAACCTGGACTTGATTTTCGATGGTTCGGGAGGTCGCAGTTTCCTCATCGGGGCACTGAACAGATTCCAGAAAAGTCTCAAGCCGGTTGAAGCACCCGAGAGGGGCTGCGAGAAATGGTAAAGATGAATAAACTGAAGACTGCAATCAGCAAGAGAGAAGTAAAAGCTCTGCTAATCGCAAATTCGTTCGTAGAAACCGCGATAAAAGCTGCAAAAGTGATTGTTGGTACTGTAAAATAGGGAGTATTCCCTGTCACCCGCTTGTTTAGGTTGTGTAGCTAAATTCTTCGGACATGCCTAGGTGTGCTCACCTGACAAGTTAACAATAACCGTAAGTCTTCTGAAGATCTTTGGTATCTTAATTTCATGATCTCGGAGCGCTCGAATTGTAACCGAGTGCAGGGAATCAATGTAGCAACCCATAATTAATTAAATGAGTGGAAGACTCGATCTATATACACAATCGAGGTGGATTGTACGTAAGAGCGTACGTAGAAGAGTACGCAATCTGCTGACGCCATAAGGGTCAGGTGTGAGAAATGGCGAGAGCACTACTTGGTGACAAAGAGCGCCACTTCAGTGACACGAATGCCGGGGACGATATATTGTTTAACCCATAAGCTCTATAGATCTGATCAAACTGAGAACAGAAGATGTCCAAGAGAATCTTTCCTGAGTGGCTTTGTTCCATATGGCTTGTCTTGTTCCCATTCACTCGGATACCCAAGCGGCAGACCCAGTGCAAGCTACAAACACTTGTCAACATAATATTCAAATTCGTGATCAGACACTTACTGGATGCTATGGCTAAGGGAACAATGCACACAATTCCAATTTGGCGTTGTAGAAGCCAAACGCCAATGCCAATCTCTATAGGACTGGCCCACATTTTGTGATGGTTGGGGCAGCAGCAGCAATTCCATCCACGTCAACACTAATGAGAGTTACTGGAGCTTGATCCTTTAGGCTACCCCACAGCGATGTTAGCGTCTTCGCATAAAGGAAGGAGACGAGAGCTCCACGGGGCTTGGTGACCTGCTGATAGGTCTTGTGTTGTTAATACGTAATACTAATGGCTAAGCTCAAATAGAGAAGACCGGTTGCCGCGATCAACCCGTAGCCATCATTTCTTCGCCTCCCCGTGGTAGGCTTTTGCATGAATGAGATAATCGCCCCGAAAAGAAATGGCTGTGCATACCGAAAGCCAGCGACTCCGAATCGAGGGAGGACGGGTGCCAATGTTGATGACTTGGAGGCAGAAGGGCAACTTTTCAGCAATCGGTGGGATTTCTTCTGAGAAACTGCAGGTTCCCGTATCAGTTGGAGAGAAGCTAAAGCCATGTTCATTTTCTCACCTTGGTCATAACTTCGTTGAAGATTATCTAGCAAATTTTTTGATGCGAAATCATCCTTGATGGGATCAAGTTGCTCTGGCCGGATAAGACTCTGATACCCTCGAAGCAGCATACCATTGAGCCACCAGAAGCATCTCCGGGAGAAGACACCGCTGAGTGTTTCTGGGGCTAAAGACTTACTTCTCTAGGAGATACCTCCGCTTTCCTTGAGCCTCCACAATCTAAAATAGGGATTGTAAGCAAAGACCCGATGTCGCGGTAGTTCTAAGCTTCAGAGATTCTACTCGAAGCTATAAAGTTCGAGCTCGGACAGCATCGAATATGATGGAGAAGAAAAGATATGTGTTGATACCATCGGAACTTCAGGGTGATCGCGCGTGCTCAAATAGAGAGGACCACTTAATCCAAAGATGACAGCCAAGGATAGAGCTTCGGAAAGGAATATCGGTTTTGATGAAGGGTGTTTGAGAGACCCAGAACAGTAGAGTTGCAAGCTGAGCTGCAAAGAGTAAAAATATACAGAGTCTAATAGATAGTCAAGATGAATCTTGCGAGAGCCTGATCGAGTCATACCCGTTTCAACACCGTGAGAGCATTGTGATGTGCCCCCATAGTCTCGCTCCATATCCACCACATACGTACTGGTAGGAAAAGAAGTACAAGAACCGAGATGCTATAGATAAGAGACTCTGCTCAAATAAAAGTGTAAAGTCATAGCTCGAACGACAGTCCTGTACAACAGGTGTACAACAGGTCCAAAGCTGTTGTCATTGGGTTTGCTGGAGGGTCATAGCTCATCATAAAGGGAAGAATTTACTTGCGCTACCTTCATCAGTGCTTTTGAAATGGGACGTGACGGGTAGAGAACGAATGATGACTTGCCTGAATGTTTGAAGTAGAAGGCCAGGCACCAATGACGCCATTGATCTGCAATGAGGCGTTGCGGCGTGAGACGGAGCGGATAACACCTGGATAGGTAGGTGATTTGGGTTAGCGTGGAGGATGCTGCAGCCATCTCATTACTCATCATCTCCTCCAAATCTAGTAGACAACACGTTATCTCACTTTAAAGGCTTCAATCAATCTACTTTGTCAAGAGTCTTCGCATTCGTCGTGTTAGTGTTACAGTGCACATGCCCACGCAAGTTCAATCCACTGTGTATGGGACGCTCCGCCTGAAATATATCCTCCTAATGCCAGCCAGATATGCTCAAGCGCCAAAGCATGCCAACACAGGTCAATGCAAACATTTTCTCTCCTCCAACTACCCCTTTTTCCAGCACTGTCGTAGCAGCCATGCACTCATTGTTCGTAAAGTGATTGAAGTCTATCCGCAGAGTAGTCCGTATGCCATGACAAAATCTGACACACGAAAGTAATGTAGTGAAAGTCGATGTCGACACGCTTTAGGCCGATTCACCGTAGATTGAAGAAACTGAAAGTTAGAAACAGCAGGTATGCAATGGGTTGTGGCTTGCGCAGACTGCTGGAATTCGCGAGATCCAACCGTTCGCACGTTGTGTGCCAAAAGTGTTCGTAGAAGTTGAGAAGAGGCAGGGCAAGTAGTCCATGGCTCTACAGCTCTTCTTGGAGCTTTCGAACCAGGTGGTACAGCTCCTCTGCCTTCTCGTTTTTCATCTTCTCGGCGTCAGTCGACGTTCCCTTTTTGAAAGGACGGCCGCCTTTCTTGACTTTGTGGGTACATACTTTGAGGAGCTGCATGTCGAGACCTTTGCCATCAGCCTTGGGAGTGCCGAAGAGCAGTTGGCCGTTTGTCGGTGGAGCCCCCTTGGCATCACCTCCAAAGGCCATTGTCTTCCCCACAGCAGCATTGAGGAGAACACGGTGCGTGCCATCCGCACGAGATACGAATCTGGCCTTCTTCGGCTCTTCTTTGCTGACATTCAGCTTGAAAGGGCCGACACCACGCTCTTTCCACCCGCCGTTGAACGTGTAGAGCTTGGCTCGGCCTGACCAGATG